CCGCCCGGCTTCGAGCCCCCCCCCCCCCCAGCAGGGACGGGGGCTCCCAGAGCAACCCCCAGCCAGGGACGTGCCCAGGGTGTGGGGCTGCAGCAGGGTCCTGGCCCCCCTACCTGTCTGGGGGTACCACCACCTTGGGGGGGCTGTGCAGGTACTGCTTGAAGCGCAGCTCGAAGGCCTGTCCCACCGTGCTGATGACGCTCTGCGCCAGCCCCTCGCAGCACTCCAGGATGTGGCAGGCTGCGGAGACACAGGGGGGCAGATGGCTCGAGCATCTCCTGTGCGCCCATCACCCCTCTGGGACCACCCTGAGCCGCCCCTCATGCCCCCCACGAAGGATTGCCTCCTCCAGGCTTCATCCCCCAGCACATCCCTCCTCTTCTGCAGAGCTCCCGGGGGGTGGGGGCCAGCGTCACCTCTCTGGTTGATGGGGTCCTTGGCGACGTAGGCGACGTAGTCCATGGTGTCCTGGGGGCACACGGGGAGCTCAGGGCCCACGTCTTGCTGCCATGCAGGGAGCAGGGCTGGGGCCGCTGGGACGAGGGGATGGGCTTGGCCCCAGCCCCAAGTCCTGCCCCAGGACCAGGCTGCCCCTGTCCCCGCAGCCAGGGGAGGGCTGGGGTGCATGTGCCTCACCGTGTCCCCGCCAGAGGCAAAGGAGATGGACTGCATGTGGTGGTTGGCGATGATCTGCGGGGGGAACATGGCCCGCAGGGGCATTAGCATGGGGGCCGCCAGCTCCCTGGTTCGCAGCGGGAGGGAGAGGGCTGGGAGGTGGCAGGTGCTGGGGCCGCATCCCTGGGGATGGCTCTCACCTGGCGCGTGGTGGGGATCATGAGGTTCAGCCCATCAACAGAGATGTTGACAGCGATGCTCATGCCAGCGAAGCGGAGGTTGCTCTTGCCCAGGATGGAGAAGAGGGCTTTGTTGGGAGCCTGATGGGAGGAGGAGCATGGGCGATGGAGCCCCTTGGGACCATGTTTCCTGGGGTGGAGGCAAACAGGGGTGCCCCAAGAGACCGCAGGCTCTGCCCCACAAACTGGGCAGGCACCCCCGGCGCCCTGTCCCACAGCCCTGGCTCACCCCAGGAAGGAGCCCAGGCAAGGACAGGCTGGGTGGCAACTCACCTTCTTCTTCCAGATGCCCTTCACGCCCGGGACCGCCTCGTACAGTCTGTTGATGGCTTCCCTGCAAGCCATGGCCCCCGGCTGGGGTTTTGCTGCAGAACCGCCCGCCCCTGCAGCCCTCCAGCCCCTTCCCAGCCACCTCCCTGCCGGTGGCTCCGCAGGGTCTGGGGGCATCAGCCCGCACAGCCCTGAGTGCCACAGCGTCCTCGCAGCGCTGCCCCACGTCATGGGCCCGCGGTACGTAATCCTGTCTGGGGCCACCTCCCTTCTCCTCTTTCCACCCATTGATCCGCGGCAGTGCCCTTCATCCATGTCCCTGCGTGCAGGGCGGATCCCGCGGGCCAGGGCTCCCCCAGATCCCGTCCCCGTGTTCCCACAGACCCCAGCCCTGTGTTTCCCCCTCTCCACAGGGCCCCAGGGGAGGGGGAGCACCCAGGGCTGCCGAGGGCTCCAGATGGCATTGGGGTGCAGGAGAGCAGGACCGTGGGGCTGTACCTGGTGACCTGTGTCCGGGTGTTGAAGTCAAGGGACCTCATGGAACGCAACACCTCAATGCACCCCATATACTGTGGGGGGACAACATACAGTCAGAGCACAGGAGCCAGGTGTCAGTGAGAAGGGCCCCTTCAAAAGCTCTCACCTCAACACATGGCACCCTTTCAACCTCCACCCCAAAATGCCCCTTCACATGCCCAGATTCCACGCTGAGATCTGACAAACTCATCTGTGTGCTATGGCTTGTGCCACCCTGGGAGG